TAGGTAATCATAGCTAATCATCAGTTAATCATGATTATAATAGCAAAAGTGTTAAATCACAAAAAAACTTCAAATGACCATGAAAACCTCACATAACAATAACGGATAGTTCATCCATCCCTCAGTATACCAACTAACAAAACATAAATGAAATACAAACAATAACCAAACTTATATATTCACAAAATATGAGAATAAATACAAGAAATAAAATGTAGGAGAGAAGTCACCCTTAGCACATGAATTTCAAAACTCTCCATCTTCATCATCAATTTAATCTATGTTTAGCTACAATAAGATGGATAATCTACACTGACCTACACTAAACTAATGAAATAAGGAGAACTAGTGAAAACTACATTTTGTATGGTATTTTTCTATCCCTCAATGTTACAAAACAAGTCCTCCAAGGTTTCGTTTATAGAACATTAAAATTCCAATCAATCATGTTAAAGTTGATGCAATTTGTTTCTTGAAATCACTAAAAGTTGATTCTACAAGTTCTATGATCTCTTTGGATAGAATCAGTCAAAATCTCTCTAAAAAATGGTGGTCAAGAATCTTGTGCAAACAAGCTACAACTTGTAGAGCCGAAATTAGGATATGTGAGGTAGGATTTGCGATCAACATCTCAGGTATCCAATTCGCGTATCCACTTGATTGTAGGTTTACGCTTTTTGATGATTTCTCGATCTTGCTTTATTTTTACACCAAATTGGACCGTAAATTTCTTAAGGATGAAAGTCGAACTAACTCTTGCACAAATACAAAAATTTTATCGCATTTAGTTAGCTTTCCAATGAATTAAGAATCATGACATTTGAGCTTTGTAGTCTGAGAAATGACTGAAAAACTCTCAACTAGTCAGTGGCCTCGTTTCGGATCTTGGCAGCAAAAATGCATGATTGTATTTCACCTTTTTGACCATGAAAATGTATGAATTGGATTTTGATATCTCATAAAAAAAATATAGTCCTATGTCTTAGGTTTAAAATGGTTCAAGAATTATCTCAACCCAATGCTTGTAGGGATGTAATTGAACCGAACTCACGAGCAACTCGATCAAAAGCTTGACTTGCACTCGACTTTGACCAAGTGTGAGTTTGGCTAAAATAGCTCATTAATAATTCAAGATAAGTTTGAGTATTGATTTGTCAAGTTCGATGACTCGTCGAGCCTTACTGAGCACAAATTAATCAATTAAAAATTATATATTTAGTTATTGCAATTTTACTCTTTTAGACTTGGGAGTTGTCTAAATTACCAAAATGTTGGTTATAACTTAAAAATATTTATAGGTCATATAGTCATTTCAAAAAGAAAAAAATAATTTTAGAGGTAAAAAAAAAATTGGCATTTCCTAATTTCTCTTTCCTCCTCAATCGATCACTAATTTCTTCCAAGTGCTACTGAAGCTACTCTTCTCCTCCTTGTCTGAACTTCTGAGAGTCTAGATCATTGATGAGATTAGAAGCTCAATTTCCGCTTGCTACCACTCATATGTACCAGTGCATCTTACTACACGGTCCATACCTATACAAATGCATCAATCTAGTGGCCATTGCTGTTGTTGTATTTGCTGAGAGGGTTGACTTCATTTCTTTCCATCTAACATCAGCCATTGCTACATTTTCTCTCTTCAGCTTAGTCGTCAACTAGAAAAAGGTATTGAGCTAATTATTTGCTATTATTTGCATCCCTTTCAAACATTTTCTGAAAATTTCTTCAAACCCTAAGTTCTGAAATTGGGGCTTTTATTTCATTATTTGTAGAGGCTGAAATTGGGGGTTTGAATAATCTGATAGCTCAAGGGAAAGATGGAAAAAGAACATGAGCCACATGACACTTCGACAACTGGTTCGGCATCCATTGCAAGCGCAGGACTAGTAGGTAAGTTGTATTCCTGTAGTTATGCAACTTAGCTCAGGGGAAAGATGGAAAAAGAACATGAGCCACATGACACTTCGACAACTAGTTCGGCATTCATTGCAAGAGCAGGACTAGTAGGTAAGTCGTATTCCTTTGTAGTTATGCAGCTTAATGGTTAGTTTTTTATTCCTCTATTCCTCTGTAGTTATGCAACTTAATGTTTTAGTTATGCCACAAGTTTGATATCCAACTTTGGGTGTAGTTAGGTAATTTAGGTCTATCATTTCTAAATTTCTACTTGTTTAGTCATTCAATTTTGTTTTAATGTGTCACTTTAGTTGAAAAAAATTTAAATGTCTTGGTGGTAGGAGTTGATCATGGCTGGATGGCTGCTTTACAGGGGCATTTCGTGCTATTGCCTTTGTTTTCGCTCATTTGCTGCTTCATCTATGAAGTTGTTTTGGTGCTAGCTTGGTGCTAAGATATTTTCTTGTGTGGACTTGCAAGTTGTAGGTTGCTGTAGTAGTAAATTGCTCTTGTTTTAGATGGTTTATTGCCACTTACATTCTTGAAATTGTTTGGTACTAGCTTGGTGATAAGATACTGTCTTGTGTAGGACTTGCAAGTTGTAGGCTGTTGCAGTAGTAAATTACTCTTGTTTTGGGCTATTATTTTGATGCTAGCTACTTGGCTGTTAAATGTTAATGTAATCATCAGTGATCACTAATTAGACATGCTTAATTTATAACTTCTACTTTCTACAACTGCTGCTTTTTTTCCCCTAAATTCCATTTTTGCATAATAGGATATGAACCTTTCTTGTACTAATTACAAATGTTCAAACTTATTTCAATTGCTAATAGCCTGTTCTTAATCAAGAAATTAGGCTTGCTCAATCTATTTTACATGAAGAGTTATATTCTGCAATTCTGGAAGTGGACAAAGATCTTGAGCTTGAGTCAAGTACTCGAGCTCGATCATACTCACAAGAAAATTGAGGATAATCGAGTTGATCTCGAGTTTTCGAATATTTTTTTGAGTTTGAGTTTGAACTTCATTTCTGCTACTCGCTCAACTTGAACAATACCTCTTACTATTGAGTAGAGGTCGACTCGACTCAATGACATCTCTAAATGCTTGTAGCTTAAGTTATAACCAAAATCCTAGAGCATGTCAGGACAACTAATCTTTTCTTCATTTGAAATTGATTGTATTTCATCTTTTGAATATTTTGTATTTCATGCTTACTTAAAATAACGTCAAATTATCAAGAATCATCCAACATTTTCTCTCGTTATTTTATTTGATGACTGAAGTCATTAAAACCTATAAAAACATGAAGTTTTCACCACTTATATCCATAGAAATGCAGTTTTTCTCACTTTTAAATTCATTAGAAACCAAATTATTTAGCTATTAAAATGATTAAAACATAACAAGAACTAAATAATAAAATACACTAGAAATATGCAAAAATAAACGCTTACCAAACATCCTCACTTGATTGCTAGGGTATTATTGGGTCTGGAACTAATCTGTATCTACAAATTTCTTTTTTGGTTTTGGTGAAAATCATCAAATGTTACAAAAAAATAAGAAAAATGAAGTTGAACAGAGAAATCAGTATGGTGAAAATCCAGCTCTTGTACCAAGATGAATACACACACGTATATATGTATATCCTTGGACTATATATATCCAATTCTTTTATTTCTTCTATCCATCACTGCTCTTTCTGAACAGCAAATATAATCACCTGAAAAACCATTTAAAGGAAATCAGAAAAAGAAAAGAACCAGTGCAAAATGATAATTAACCCACATGACTAAACGGTCATCAAATGGTCCCATTTCCCTGAACAAAATTCAACATAGGAGATCTTCCAAATTATGAAGCGACTAGACCTAGCACAGTTGAATGGTCCAACTTTTGCTAGCCAACTTGGACTACGTAGATATATTGTCCTTTCGATTTGGTTGTGATCATTTATTAGTTCAACTGTTCATGTCGGTTGAATCTTTAGTCAATGACGGTTCGTGAGGGCTTCCTTTGAAATTTCAATGATTTTATGATCTTAATTCCTTGGAGATTTTAATGAGTTCAAGATCTTTTATTTAATTTCTTGTGTCAATATTTCTTCTTCTTGTTTTCTTTTTTCTTTTGCAAGTATACAAATATAACACAATATATTCACATGCAGAGTTACACATGGTGATAAAATAGAATGCTGAATAGGGATCGATGTAAAAAATGGGATAGTGGAGATGAAACAATATTAACTCTGAAAAGTAAAAGGTAATAGGCAATCTTTTTGAAACAATAGCTTGATTATTGGCTTTTTCCAAGCCTCTTACGACATTTAAATTGTATATGGATGTACCTAGCTAATGGATTTGACGACCATGAAATTTCCATTCTTAATTATTTGTGAATCTTTTAAAAAACAATAAAAAGAAAAAGAAAAAGACCACGATCTTGAACCTATCCCCTACTAAATGGTTATATATCTTGTACAAATAGGAAGGTCAAACTTCTCTCCAATAATTAAGGATTTTTCTAATGCGTGTCTATAAGGTAATTGATAACATACTTAATATCCATCTAAATTACAATATATATACACATACTAACAATTATTACCTTCCTTTGTATTTATATACTTTCCCTCTTTAATCTTACTTATCATCTCTTGTATTTATTTACTTTCATTAATTAATCTTACATTTCAAAATAATAACACCTAAAATATATCTTAGTGGGTGGCACCTATTAGATAGACCGAGTAATTAATTTATTTTGATAAATTAATTTTTCCAAGGTATTTAGATAAGGATATTTTCCTTGCTTGTAAATATTCACTCCAGTCAGCTTTTTCCAATGGAAATTGTCCTTGACAGACCAAATAAATGAAAAACCAAGTGTCAAAGTCTATTTCCGGTAGATTTCCATATCTTCTACTCTATCCAAGGTCAAACGTAAATCAAATAACCACCTAAATGACACTTTTTTTTAAAAAAAATAAGGGAGACTTTTTATCGGTCATAATCGAAATCCAAACCAAATGAGTACCCTAATAATCCATCCAGCGATTATCACAAGTCCAATTGTATATGCATACATACCGTTTAAACATGGTTGATTATGTAGTTATTGCCTTTGGAAACAAATTTTATGTTCGTGTTCGCGATTCTCGAGTTGCATTTCCTCTTCGGATTGACGATTTCCCCAGAAAAGTTAGGAAACATATAAACCAACAAATAGAAATAAGCACTATGATAGAAATTTTAAATTGTAGAGCTCATTTCAGGCTAAATTGGTCGATTGATACAAATGCAGTTCAAAATAAAATCAGTACTATGACATAAATTTTCTTTCTGTTTGTGTTCGTAGGAGCATACTGGACAAGGTACATTGATTTTGTTCAAAAATTAAATTTGTAACCACGTCAATGTACTCCACATTGTCTAATATAAAAAAAGGTAGCCTGCTCTTCCTGTATTATTCTACTTATAATTATGGACTGTGGAATAACGTCAAGTTCATAGGATCCAAGTTGAACAACTAGCAATTACTATTCTGTCTTTCTTTCAAATTTTGTATACTTCTTTTGAATTTTTTTGGTTGTCTAAAGCTAGTACACAACATCCTACGAATTCTTTACAAATTTAAATTGAATTTGGATGCATCCAGTGAATGGAATTGACCCTATGAAATTTCTTTTGTTATAAGTTGGTAACTATCTGTACACATTCAGCTACATTACATCCTCAGATTTTGTGCTCGTTTTAGGAGTAACGTGTGCTTCCATTCTCTACTAAATGTTAGATTTTCAGCACAAGATAGATTGATGTATTTATGCAGTTAAATAAATGAAATTAAACTTAGAACTATGTTTAAGTTATTATTATGAATGATTTTTTTTTTTAAAGAAAAAAGGAAAAAAAAATAGCGATCTTCAACTGCCCAATTAGCTCAACTGACGACCTTGCCACAAAGTATACATAGAAGGTCAAACTTCTTTGCAGGGGTTTGTTCACATGATAAAACTAATTTTTGCTAAGATAAAACACTAGGGATATTTTCCTTGTACTTTTATCACCCCAATCACCACTTTCAAATAACTCTTGTCCGTGGAAAAAAAAAATCAGATAAGTGAAAAACATGTCAAACTCTATTTACCAGTGGATTTCCATTTCTTCTACCTTATCAAGGTCAAACTCAAACGTGAAACAAATAAGATAGGGATCGATGACTTTTCTTGTTTGATTAGGGAGACTTTTATCCATCACAATCAACAAGGAAACCAAAATGACTATCTAATATATATGTACGGGTAATCACGAGTGCATTTGATTTTTTTCAAACAGCCGTAATTAGACTTTTGTTGATAGTCATTTGATATTACACCACATATGGTTGAAATTTGCAACTTGGAAGCCACCATTGCTGACCACCGACGGAAGTCCTAAAAGCCACAAATCCTCATTTCTTCCAAGATTCTTTCCATTTATACGACATATATCAAAGCCAAAACAAATAGCCACAAACCATCTTCTTTCTTCCAAGACTAACTCTGAGAGATGGAAATGCTATATCTCCTTATTGTTGTCAACTAAGTTCAAGTTCGATAGTGAAGCTCATATTTTATGGAGGCAAAAAGGGTTGTCTCAGCTGGAAAAGCTTAGCGGGAAAGATTATGTTCGAGTTCCCAGATCATATGGTTTGTCATGCAGATTCATTCTTCATAGGTCATCCAATTCCAGTATTAGACATAGATGATGAACTTATCGCAGGGGAAACCTACTTTGTTCTCCCTCTTGATTGCTTCACAAATAATGTCCTCTCAGCTTCTTCTTTGGCAACCCTAAGAAGATCTATCTCATCTGGTTCGAAACCAGCCGCTGTAAATTTCAAGGAATGCCCATTTGAACATGTGAAGGGTACAAATGGAAGGGTTTTGATCAAGGTCAGGCCAGAATTCATAATTAAGCTTCTAACAAGAGATCAAGAAACAGGTGATGAAGATAGCAGATCTCTTAGTCCTAGTCATGGCTTCCTTTGTAGTACACCGGAGTTGAAGAAACACTATGATCAAATGTTAGGGTCTAAAGACAATGCTTGATCGCCAAAACTTGAGACCATCACTGAGTACAAAATTAGGTATTCGCCTGTAGGTTCATAGGTTTTGAAAGAAAACAAGGAGAGGCCGAATGTTGATGGCAATGCAAATATGTGACTTTTTGGAAGTCTGTTTGTTTGTTTGTTGTAATCATCCATCAAGTTATGCTTGAAATGTACAGAATCTTCAGAATGGCATTGTTTTAGGGTAGGTAAACAATAGTTGTAGTCTTGAAATTTGGAAACTGCTTATTTTTAGGTAAATATTAGCAGATGTGTGTTGATCGGCACAGCGTGAATTAGTAATCATTTGATGGACACGGGTATTATGGTTTGATGTTGGTACGGGTAGGTGCGATTTGTGTATTTATTATGCAACACGGTGTACAGTTGCACTATGCTGTTGCAACTGAATGTATGGAATCACATATATATTAGCTTTTTGTTCCAAATATTAATACTGAAGTATTATACATCCAATTATATGACAAATACAATAACCGTAGGAAATTTGATAAATCACAACCTTTGGCCCCGCCCCAAAACCTTAATTACTTGGTAGTTTTCCCTTTGAATTGTTTTTTGTGGACCTGATTAAGACTTTGGAAGTACTGCTGATACAAGGCATGGTACAAAATGAAGGACGCGGGTCTTCAACACTTCTCTTCTACAAAATGCACATGTTAGTTACAACGAATATTGGTCACATAAACTGCGTAGAATATGGCAACAAGGATTAATTCCACTTTGCATCTCCAAACTTATAGCACTTTTCTATTTTGCACTCTAAACTTTAATTTTGCACAACTTACATTCTAAACTCTCATCTTTTTTTTTTTATAACAACGTGTACACTTTTTTATTACCATGTAAAAACGAAAAACAATATTCTAGAGGTGGCCCAAACCTTACCTCAGTAGACAATGAACATTAAACAAGGAGTACTTACTCCCTTACAACTTGTGTCCTGAAGTTGGGAAACGATATTGAATCCAGAGCTACAATGGCTTTAACCGCAGCTGGCAGCTCTTGAGGTGAATTGAAACCTCGCTGTGATCCCAGGTTCAAGCCGGCTAATTTATCGGCTGCACCGTTCGCCTCTCTGAAGACATGCGAAAGCCGAATTGCAGCCTGAGCTACTATTTTCATGATCTGCCGGAGTGTATTGCATAGGGGCCATTTGGCCAGCGAATTCGAGTGAATCAGCCTAACCAACACCGCAGAATCGACTTCCACCGCCAAGCCATCCATACGTCTTTGTACACACAATGTCAAACCAAAAAGAAGGGAGAGGGCCTCCACCGTCAAGACATCCGCATCACCAAAAACCTTGTAAAAAGCGAAAATCACCTCCCCCTGATGATTCCTAACCAATCTCCACCCCCAGCAGCCACCCCTCGCACTACACTAGCATCTGTATTAAACTTTAGAGTACCCGGAGGTGGGATACTCCAAGATACAGCCACATACTGATGCGAAATGGCACCTGACGGAGCTAAAGCTGCCCATAAAACGTCCGTATCCCCCAGGAAAGAATCGCTTCTGAATACCCGTGCTCTCCAAGTTGCTGTAAGAAACCCTCCACCTCCCAAACAACCTGAACCGCCGAGTGATTTACCCCTTGGAACCTCGCTGCGTTGCGTCCTTTCCAAATAAACCACAAGACAATAATCGGAAGAGCGACCCGTATATGATTCCTGTTAAGCTTGGCTATCGAAAGAAACCAATGGAGCAGCAAAGCTGAAACACTCGAGAATTGCAGCCTTTTCAGACCAAACACGTTGAAGAAATGTTCCCACACAGCACCAGCCACTGGACCATCAAGGAAGACGTGGATCCCCGATTCAGTACTTGCCTGACAGCATACACACCGTGATACTAAATTGATTCCCTTCTGCTGTAAATTTTCCTCCAAAGGCAGAAAATTGTTAATCAGCCTCCACACAAAGAATGACATTTTGATAGGGGCGATGGCATTCCAAATCCACCCGGAGACCCGTGAGATATTCCTCCTAAACTCTCAATCTTAAACACTTTGCACTCTAAATTATCAACTTTATCCTATTTCAGTCAATCAATGACAATGTTAACCAAATTAATGAGATAAAGGATGACACTACAAATTAATGGCATTGTATCATTTTTTACGAGCAAGAGATTGGAAAAATCCAATTATCATTCTCTCTACAATCATTCTCTCTACAAAAATCTCTTCGGGTTTGTTCTTCGTTGCATGGCTGCCCTTCAGCCGTCGGCTGAGGGGCAAGGATCTCCTGCAAACAAAAAAAATTCTTTTTCCCAACTTTTCTCTCAGCCTTCAACATCTTCTATTCAAATTCGGCAGGCAACTGTCTATAAAGGTGAAGCTGCGGTCATTTTCTTCAGAGCAGATGCGGAAAATCTTGCACCGCCGTTTCGATGGACTTTGGTTGGAAAATTTTCTCATGGGAGACCTTCGTTAGAGGATATTCGCAAGTTCTTTGCTTCGTTAAATCTAAAAGACCACATTTCCATTGGATTGATGGACTATAGGCATGTTCTGATTAAGTGCTTTGCTGAAGTAGATTTTAACAGGATTTGGACAAGAGGGATTTGGCAATTGGATAAATTTCCGATGCGTGTATTTCGCTGGACCAGGGGTTTCATGTGCTTAGAGAGTCATCTCTGGTACCGGTTTGGGTTGAGCTTCCAAATTTACTTATTCATTATTTTGATACACATTCTTTGTTCTCCATATTATCTCGAATAGGAAGACCTTTGTTCCTGGATTCGGCATCGGCTGCTGGGACGCCTCCTAGTGTTGCTAGAGTGTGTGTGGAGATCGATGTGGCGAAGCCTTTTGTGCCGAGGATCTGGGTAGCTGTTGAAGGAGAATCAGGCTTTTGGCAAAGAATTGTACCAGATAACATGCCAACATATTGTTCATCTTGCTGGAGATTGGGTCATTCGTCTGAGAACTGCAAGAAGAACTTCACCGAGGGTGGATATTGACATCACAATAATCAAACCAAACGGCTGCAGCATGGTTCAAAATTACTTGGGAACAATCAGCATGGGTTAGTTATTACACCTGTGTGCAACCCAGAAGCTCAAGGGAAATAACAATGGAGGTTATGAAAACTCCTGAAGATGCGCGACTTCCTGGTGCGTTTGAAGGTGAAGGAACGTCAACAGGTGCAATGGAGAAATCTGGTGGACCTGCTGATAAGCCAAACTATGCTGCTCCCGAAATTCAGCATGGGATGTGCAACCCAGAAGCTAAAGGGAAAGTAACAATGGAGGATAAGATAGCTCCTGGAGATGCGCGACTTACTGGTGAGGTTGAAGAAGAAGGAACGTTAAAAGCTGCAAGAAGTAACAGTTCTTCTTGCAGTTTCTGCAGCTGATGCAAAGAGACAGCCGGTTGCTGATGATGACATGGAGGGACCATTGCATAAGGATCATACGAAAATGACAGACCAACTGGAGGAGGATCATGGGCATGATTGTGAGGGGTCCCAGATTCTAGTGGAGCAAACCTTGGGAGAAGTTCAGCAGCAAATGGCCGACACCACTAGCTTGATAAATCAAAGTGCCGATAATGCAATGGCCATGAATGTGAGCGGTCCCCGCCTATTGAGGAGCAGCATTTGAAAGGTGAACATTATCAAAAGGCTGACACCACTGAGACAGACAATCTCTGTCGATTTGCGTGGGGTTGACAATGAAGATTCCACATCTAATGAGGTTGATGAAGTAGCGTTGCCAATCATCGCAGGAAACTTATCTCCAAGATTGGTTGTAACACGTGAGAGGTCGGTGGAGCCATCAATACACACTTTAAACATTGACCAATCTGTAGTCGTTGAGAGGGATCGCCAACAAAAGCGTGTTAAGGGTGTGCGAGCTTGTTTCCCATCTGACAGACAGCTATGTTCAGCGACATCATCCCACGACTCATTCCAGGTTTTTTTCTCATGATTAGTGGTATATTTTGGAATATTAGAGGGGTAGCTAAAGCCCATAATCTAAGAAGATTGATAAAATTAGTACGTATTCACCATGCTAAGTTTGTTGTGATTTATGAACCAAAGTTAGACGTGTCCGAAATTGAGTCCATTCGTCTACGATTATTATTTGATTATACCTTTGTTAATTTATTGGGTGACATTTGGGTATTCTATAATAGTCCTTTTGTGTGTTCCATTGTTGGTAATTCAGAGCAGCATATTCTATACACATTCAAAGTCAGTTGCTTTCTACTCCAATCGTCATGTCTTTTGTCCATGCGAAGTGTTCAGTGGAGGAGTGTCGTGTCTTATGGTGCACCTTATTAAATGATAAGCCAATTTCTCTCCCTTGGTGTATTGGGGGTGACTTTAATGTTAGGGCAAAAAACCTCAGCGGCCACTAAACTATTTGTCAGATCATGTTTTGGCCGTCAAACTATTTTTCGTCAGTAATTGGCCACTAAACAACTTAATCAGTAAATTCGTGACCATTTAGTCGATAATTGCTCTTAATCTGTGAAATTAGCAGTACGCGTGGCAAAATACGAGGGTAATTTTATTTAACAACTATGCGACCGTATTCTTCTTTTAATTTCTTTCCTCAAACAATCACCGAATGGAAAATTATATGGAGGAAAAAATAGGGACTCAATTGGGAGCCCCAAATCTTCAGCCACAAATCCAAGAAGCCGAAGAAGAAGACAAGAATGTCGAGGCGCTCTGCTAAACCTAGATGCTTCTGCAAATTAACAGCAACGATGAAGACCTCATGGACAAATTGGAACCCAGCAAGAAGATATGTGGTCTGCCCAGGAGAGGTAAGATTTTTTCTGGAAATGATGCCTTTACCAGAAGAAGAGTGAGCTCTGAAAGCCATCTTGCGGAGAAGCTCCCAGCCTTCGTGTGGGTTAAGAAATCTCATACGGTGAATGAATCCTTTGTCGTCGGCTGATGAAGAAGCAATCTTGTCTGCAACTCCGACATCCCGAGTGGTGAGCAGCACTTTGCTGGCGGT